CTTCGTTTTGATACCAAACTGTTGGAACAAATTACACTGGGCTTAACATTATTCAAAAAATTGAGCGACTTGCAGTCTCAGTGAGTTCCCCGGATGACGATACCATGGAAGACCATTTTTTAGGTGTTGTTCAATGTCCCTCTTCAAAGGGAGTTGACCAAGCAGAACAAGTGCACAATATTGCAGTCCTAATTGTAATTCTTACAGTTATTTTGAAATTACCAATTTTGTGGATAATGTGTAGGAGACACATATATGAAGTACATGTATCTCACTATATGGCTGCCCTTACTGGTGAGAAAACTAAAGGTCCAAGATGAGCTCTTTATGTCAAGCTAAAGTGGCCTGAAATCTGTGAGAAAGTGAATGAAGTGAAAATTTTATGTAAATTCGACTGGCAAAGAGATGATCTGAAGATTGTCTCTGTTCTTCGCTTTGTTGCAGAAGAAGCTAAGACATTTTTGACTAATGCAACTACTGATATAGTGTTTCAAGGAATGATTATGGTATAGCTTGTAAGCTTGCCTCCTTCTTCCTTGGAGTGGAAGTACAAGATTTTAAGTTCCATCAACCTGGCGCCTGCCATGAGGCAAGGTTTTTAGCAGATGCGATCTACATTCTGACTCTTTATATGACTAAAGATATTAGTAATATCTTGACAGAAAAAGAAATGCTGCAGTTAAAGGATGCAAGTTTGTTCATTGCAATGTGCTATGTTCCATGGCTTTTAAAAAGTTTTTTAGGATTTCTGGCTCCCTAAAATGATTTGAAAGCTATCCAGACAGCCTATGCATTGAGAAAAGTTAGTAAGAATATTGGAAACGCTTTGCTTCTCAGCTCATTCATTAAGCTCATTAAAGATTTTATTTCAGCTACTAGAGATGAAGATCACCTTCAAAATGTACTTTTTGTAGTTAAAAAGTCTAGAAAAAACTTGACTAAGACTATGACTAAAAAGGAGCTTGGGAACTGTTCAAAAAATTGTAATTTTTGAAAAATGTTTCACCGCAATAAAATCTTAAATTTGCTAATAAATATTAGTTTTCATGTATTTTTTTTGTATTTCATATTTATAAATATAATCTATCAAGTTAAATAGTAGAAAACAATTGGAAATGATTTATACCCACCTAATTGTTTTGTTTTAATTTTCTAAAATGTGTTTTCTATTAATGTTATGCTAGCTTAACATTAAAACAGTAAAACCAAACCAATTCAAATATATGTATATACATATATTTGAACAAAATATTTATATAAAGAAACGTGGAATGATTTTTTTAAATAATTCAAATGCTAGAATGTAACATATCATTTGAAAGCCCTCAAATTTAGTATTACAAAAGTAAAAAATTTACGAAAATGGAACAATTCTATAAAAAGTTATGACGTTTTTATAAGCAAATTTCCGATATATGGATTTCTTGATAAAACTGTGGTCAAAAAAAAAATTTTTTTTCATATTTGTTATAACTTTGTCGATTCTTATTCAAAAATCTATAACGTGGTATCAAAAGATAGGTGAAAATATGGGCTTTAATTTTACACTCATTTCTAGGTAAATGGCGCAACAAGGGATCTGGAGGAGGTGCTAATACCCCACCAACACCTCACAAAAAAACACTTTTCTACATAAAAGAGTGTTTTTTTTAATGAAATTGATAATATTTATGTATAACATGTGGTATTATTTTATTCTACATCACTTGCGAGTATTACAGGTCTATCTTAAAGTTGGGTGTTAGGTTGTGGGTAAGGTTTAACAAACCCTATCAAAACTTCATTCTTTTAAATATTCTAATATATACTAAAATGAGTAAATTGTAAATAAACAAATATAATATTTCAATATTTTGAAAAATATTAACTAGTGGTATATAAAATTGCTATTTTTGGAGTGGACGTATGCCGCCCCCTGTCGCCCTAAACCTGAAAATAAAATTTTAATGAC